CAAAATTATTCAAACCATTATCAACTTTCAAATCTTCTTTATGGTCATCCCACTTGCACCTAAACACTAGAATTCTAAAAGTGTTGTAATCCAACTCCCAAATATGTTTAATTATCCCAAAGTATGATATTTTTGCATAAATTGGATAATCATCCTTAGAACTTGAAATGTGCATGGAGTTGGCTATTAGAGTTACACCACTATTTTACACTATGCTTTGATCATCATGCTCTTTCATATAGAACGTCTACCCATTGATGACATAACTAGTTTAAAAAAGAACGTGCTTAGTAGACCATTTGCCAACCATCTCAATCTCTCAAGAACTGAACTTTGAGTGGCATCCTATATTTCATTAACAAGTTCTTTCAACTAACCACTAAAATATTTATTGTGTATTTTAATTATCTATTGTTCTTTTTTATTTGGGTTATTGGCCTTTAAGCTCTTCCTTGTGCTTCTTTACATACTCGTTGACCTTTGGAGAGTTGATAAGTACATATAGATGTGTTTCTTCCCATTATTGGTCTAATATAGTAATGACTTTTCTTCCCCTCACCCTTTCATCATCATGATAATATTTTAAAAGCCTAGCATCCCTAGCATTCTTTAAATATTGGGAAGAAAAGTCAATAGCTTCTTCATTAATGTACTAATATGATTGACTTTAATTTTCCACATACCCTTTTTATACCTTCATGTAATGCTCAACTAGATGCATCCATCTCAAGCAGGTAGGCCCATACAATTGTACCTCTCTAACTAGGTAAATTGTTTGGTGGATTATAATGTCAAAGAATGTAGGAGGAAAATACATCACCAGCTTACGTAATGTTTTTACAACCTGTCTTTGCAACCTTGGCAATTTTGTGGAATCAATTAATTTATTGCAAAGAGCCTTTAAGAAGAAACAAAGTATTGTGATTGTTGCTCTTACACTATCAAGTAAAATACCATGTGAAGCTACCGATAGAAAATTTTCAATCAAAATATGGTAGTCATGAGATTTTAAACTTTTTTGTTTTAGGTCCCCCAATGAAACCAAGTTCTTAACATTAAAAAGTAAGTCGTTGGAACTTTGACCCCACCAAGAGATTCACATTAACTTCTTTCTTTCTTTTTTAGATGGTGTGTGAGCCATAGTATGAAGATATGTTTGACTATCCTTCTTCTCTAGTGCCAATTCTTCCCTTATTCCTATCACAACCATGTCTAACCTTGCATTAATGTGATCCTTGGTCCTCCCTGGAATATGGAATATATTCTCAACAATACAATCACATACATATTTCTCAATATGCATTATATCAAGAAAATGTCTCACATCCAATGTCTTCTAACAAGGCAACTCAAAGAAAATTAACCCTTTTTTTCCAATTGCTTGTTCCTACATCTTTGCCAATGGTTTGGCAAATTTGGTATCCAAATCCTTAACTTTTTTTCAAACAATTCCTTACTAATTAATATCTGTAGCGGCCTACTTCTGATTTTCCATTGAAAGATTTTTACCATTTATGGTACCGATAATCCTTGTGTAACCATTTGTGATGTCCCAAATATACATTCTTAATCCCATCTCGTAACTTCATCAAATACATGTTATCTTCACAAATAATGCTATATTCGAACAAATTACCATATGTCGAATAGTCGTTTATTATATCAAAAAGCATGGCTCTCAAATTTAACTTCTCGTCCATATAATCATAATAAATTTCTATACTCGTCTCCCAAATTAATTTCAAATCTTTAATCAATGGATCCAAGTATATATCTATGTCATTCTTAGGTTGTTTGGCTCCTGATATTAATATTGTCAACATCATATACTTGCACTTCATGTAGAGCCATGGAAGAAGATTATAGATCATCAACATCACTGGTCATGTATTACGGGTGTTATTTTAAAGGCCATGTGTGTTCATCCCATTAATAGCCAATGTGAGGTGCATGTTACTATCTTTCCCAAATTCAAGGTATTTATAATCAAACATTTTCCACTTAGAACCATTAGCAAGATGCCGAAATAAGCCATCTTTAATTCCCTCATCCACATGCCATGCTATATTTTTTTGCTTCCTTTGGTATGCTATACAAGCGTATGAATCTTGATATAATGGAAAAATACCACATTGCTTTCTTTGAACTCCTCCTGTTCTTCTTGTAATGTGGTGCCATACATTAGGAAAATAGGTCAACGATTCATACTCTCCCCTAAAAAAAATGCAATCATTAATGCAAGTATGTATCTTCTCATAGCTTAGGCCAACAAAGCACAACACCTATTTTTCCTTATACGATCAGCTTTAAAACTTGTTGGGCTTTGGTAATATTTCTTTTATGATAGAGATATTTTTCATGAAGCTGGCATCACTCCACTCATGTCTTGCTTTCATATTGAAGAATTTCAATATTATAAACAATATTGTGTATTCACAACCCTCATACAAACGCATCTCTATATCACTCTTCAACTTCTCTAACATTTCTAGAAAATCCTTGAGTACCTCTTTCATGGCATCTTCCAACTTTTCAACATTATAAGCCACATATGCACTTGTGTTAGAATTAGGGGAATGGAAACTTTCACTGTGCATGTTACAACTAATCTTATCCAGTGTCTCCCTATGTAATATCCAACATTTATAACTCTGATCGATTTCAAATTCCACCCATTGATCTTTAAGTTTTTGTGAAAAAGTATGCCTCACAAAATTACACTTCAAACAGGGACAAATAATTCTTTCAAGATCTTTGGCATGCTCTCTTGCAAACTTAATGAATTCTTGAACCCCATTCCCATATTCTTGATATGTATGTTTAGTAAACATCCATCTCTTGTCTATAATGTCAACCTAGTTTAATCATTTATAAAGGAAATGTGATCAAGGACTCAATGCCAATTAGGACAATTAAAGCAAGAAAAAAAATTAATGCTTGAGTCACATGCTGTCACATATTGTCCATCTCTGATTGTAGAATCAACATTAATATATTAAACATGATTTTAATCATATCCCATTACATTTGAAAAATTTTGGTGGCATAATGACTTAAAATTATCATACCCCAAGCCTTATACATTCTCTTTATATTATTAAAAAAAATACTTCAAACCTATGCATAATCAATGATTTTAACAAAAATTCTGTAGCATAATGGCACAAAATGAATTTTTTCAGGCATAATAATACGTTGTTTCTAGAACAAAAATAGAACAATATCAAAGTACCATTTTTAGAATAGTTCATTCTATCATATACATCAACACTGTCACACAACATATGCATTCAGCCAAGCATTGCAAAAAGCAAGTAAATTCAACATACAATGGAGGAAGAGAGTCGCATAGAGAAAATTTAATAAAACTAAGGTTCAAATTATTAATTATTTTTATATAAAATAAATAAATAGAGAAGTAGAGCATAACAATGGAGGAAGATAGTCGCATATACACTATATATATTCCAAGAACGAATCAAAACAAAGTAAAAATGATAATGGATAGGTATTAGGGATAAAAATCACTAACCTGAGTCTCAATGATTCAAGAAGAAGAGAAGATGGTGGGGGAAGAAAGAAGAGAGCCATGAAACATTGAAAAGCCTAGAAAATTGACCCAAAACACCCATGGTGGAGACGGCGATGATGGAGGAAGGCTCTTGACAGTGGAGAACCACTGGGCTTGGTTGGAAATACTTTCGAAAGCAATGGGATGGGTATCATGAGGAATGGGAGAGGTTTGTGGGAGAAAGAGAGTTTTTTGATGATTCTAAAACGTTAATGTCCATGAAGATTTTGGCAACTAAAAGGTTTTTTAAATGAGACTATTTAGCTATTATTTGGCTAAATAGATTGAGACTATTTAGCAATTAGTTTTAAAATAACCACTAAATAGTCTCTAGGCTAAAAAAGTTTAAGAAAAAAGGTCTATATAATGGTTGCTAGAAGTAACTGCTACATAGCTTCTAGAGAGAAAAATTAAAATTTAAAGAGACTATGTAACAGGTTTTTATTTTAACTGCTATATAAATTTAGATACTATATAACAGTTACTGTATATAACTGTTATATAGTCTCTGGCATCAAATCCCGCCTCATTTATATATAGAGGGAGTTATACGTAACTATTTTGTTAGTAGTGTGCTATAACCTCTCTCACACATCCATCCCTGCCTATAATCTGAAGCCTGCTTCACGATATGAGATCCATGCATATCGCGTCATGTATTGTTTTGTGAACAATAATGTTCTCAGTTTTGGGTAGATGCTGTGTCCAATGATGGGAGGCGGAGTAATCAAGAACAGCAAATCAAGGCAGGGATGGGGAAGTAGAGAGGGAGAAAGACGTGGCAGTACGCAGATCATAAAAAAAAAAAAAATGCCGTGTGAAAATTTCTGGGGTCAGATTTTCATTTTAACAGTCAATATTTCCCAAATTTGACGGTGTTTGAAATTGCTTCCCTTTTAATACTTTTAAGGTAATATTATTACTTCTAAAAGTTAAAAATACTAAGTATTCTTTTGAGAAAACTTTTGAAATAATTTTGCCCTTGAACCTAACTTAAATGAAGGCTGAGATTTTGAATATTAGACAGAATAGCAGACATTCAGCAACTTTTTAACTTTGTGTGTCTCGTCAATCAGGTGTGTGTGATTCACATATACTGAGTCATGGGGCTCTACTTTTCCGTCATGGTGTTGCAATTGTATTCAATGACTTTAACTAATGTCGGCTCTGACTAAGCCCTCTCGAATCAACGTGCAGTCTCGTAATAATATATATATATATATATAACACTGTATATTTCTATTAAATTCATTCATGTACGTTACCATACAATACAAACTTATACCACACGACGTGCCTACCTTTGTCCATAAACTTTCAAGCTCATCACTCATTTTCTACTCCTGAAATCATAAGCCAACCATTGAAGCCTCGCACCATCAGTTCTTTTCTCTTTAACTTCCTATAAACTTCAAAATAAATTTAAAACATGAAGACCACACCGCCCTGGATTCTGATCGCTCTCTATGTGTTGGTTTCCTTCATTATTATTAGCCACTACTCAGCAATGGTTGTTGCAGATTGTGGTAATTCAGGTAAGCACTTGGCCAGCTTAATTATTTTCACTCTTTTTTCCCCAACTCAGGAAATTTTATTCAGCAAGCAGTCTAACCATGACATAACTACTGTTGTAATCTTAGGTGCTGTATTATTTAGTTGTTACAAAAAAGTCGCGTATGTATGGTAACAGATAGAAACTTGTATTGTTCATTCATGTATGGCTTTTGGAGACTAGTGGCCTTTGATTTTCCTTTTTCTAATGTTTTTTTATAATGTCTCAACTTCCCCATTTTATTTTTCTTTTTTATTTTAGATTTTAATTTCTATATAACATAAGAGACATTTTGATATGAAGTCCCAAAATGGTGAAGTTTTGTATCACATCTTTTTATTTTTGAAAAATCATAAAAAAAAAACTTTACAATTTTCTTCAAAATATCAAAATGTTTCTTTTTTTGTATACAAACCAATTATCCAAATAAAAAATTGAAAAGTTGAAACATTACGAGGAGCATTGAAGAAAAATACACAAGAAATCCCTGGCCTGGAAGATAATGAACCAAGGAAAAAACAAAAATGAAATAAAAAATTTGGGATATGGAAGGCACATTATAGACCCCTAACCCGATTTTTGGTACTCCTGGAAAAACTTAAGACTATTGAATAAATCTATGCAGGTTTCATAAGCATAGACTGTGGAGCAAGAACGGATTACGAAGATGAAGAAACTGGGTTTTGGTACCAGACAGAAGAAAACTTCATTGGAACAGGAAACAACGATGAGATCTCTTCAGCCATAAATTTCAACAATGATGCTCTAACTGCATCACGACAGCTAGACATTCAGAAGCTTTCCAGAGGGAGAAAGAAACTGTTACAATGTGAAATTAAAACAACAAAAAAATGTCAAGTATTTGATCCGGGCTGTGTTTGAATATGCGAACTACGACTTCAAAAACCAGACCCCAATTTTCGATCTTTACGTAGGAATCAACTACTGGGACACAGTTCAATGCCTGCTGTATCTTATTTCCTGTACTAAGACGTCATAATCCACAAGGTTCCCACAGACAATATGGTACAAGTGTGTTTAGTAAACACTGGAAGAGGCACACCTTTCATTAACGCATTGGAATATACTCCGCCTCGCTTCCATATTACATAATGTCTACAGAGCCGATCGTGGTTATGGGCGTCCCAGGGTTATTATCACGTGTGTGCTCTTCCTTTTTCTTTTTTCTTTTTTCCCCTTTTAACAAAAAGTTTAGATGGTTGTGTTAAATTATTTGGCTAGGTATACTTAAGGATAGTCTTCTTAACCAAAATAGTTTAAGTTACTTGATTAGATATCCCAAGCTTCTTTCATTTATGATATATCTTCTAATTTAAATGTGAGACTTTTTTTATCTCTTATGTTCCCTTTACTACTTCTTTTTCTTTATTTTTTTTGTTCTTCTTGCTTAAGCTAGCACTTTAAAAAAAAAATTAGAAGTCTGAGGTTTATTCAATTTTTCCCCAATTGAATGGCTCTTGATGTCATGATAAATTATTTGGTTAAGCATTCTTAAGGATGTCTACTTCACCAAAAAAAAAAAAGTAAAGCTATTTGGTTAAATATCTCAAGCTATATATATTCATGATATATCTTTTAATTTCTCAATGTGGGACATTTTTTATCTCTAATAGTTCAATTTTAAGGCTTATCACACTCGGGAATGTCCCTAAACTTAAAAGAAGTGTATATCACTAATAAAGATTTATTTAGTTGGTAAAGAGTTGACCCATAACCTACAAGGTCATGGGATCAAATTCTACTATCAATGTGAGGATCTTGTTAATATGTAGGCATGTAAGTATCTTTTAAGTTTGGAGGCATTTCCTAATTCGATAAGTCAAAGACACTCAACTCACCTAAACTTTTTATTTGAAAAAAAGATGTGTACTTTTTATCTTTTAATACTATGCACAACTTTTTTTAAATCATTATGAATTGATCGTTATGCCCTTATCATAGTTTAATTATTTTTATTTTCTTTAAAAAAGTTATAGTGCATCATTTCTTATGTGTATGATGTTTTTTCTTTTTCAGGAGAAAGGCTAATCTTATTTTTCCTTCTTGTCCTAAATATGTTTTTTTTTTTGTTTTATGTTTTTAGAGAATGTGAAAACTTGTACATTAAAAATAGTTATGTTTCATTTCATCATCATCATCATTCTTGTTTTGATTATTTATAAAAAATAATTATATTACAATTTATTATTTATTACAAACTTTACATCAATATATTTTTAATTTGAAGTAAAAAAAATCTATTCGTGTAGTTTTTTTTATTGAGAACCTAATAACAATAAAAATTAAAACAAGAATAGTTATACTTCCTCCGGACTAAAATATATGGCATTGGTAATTAATTCATGATTTTTAAAAAAATTAGTTGAATCTTTAATTTCTTAAAAAAATTTACATCCTTTCAATTTTACTCTTATTAAATACCCTATATAAGTGTTTTGATCATGATAATTAAAATTTTGATATGCAGTTTTTTCAAAAAGAGTAATAAATGAAGTAGAGGAATAGTTGAAAAAAAATATAAAAGTTATGCAATATCTTATATTTTAGATCAAGCAAAACCTCTAGAAAATTTCTTATATTGCTAAAAAAAATGAAGAGGTTACTCAAATTACTCAATCTCTCTTGATAAGCACAATAAAACTCGATACTATAGATTATAAATGTGAGAATCAACCCACTGGCCACAAATCTCATGAATCATAATTTTCAACTTCATGAATTCAATTACCCTTTCCCCTAATGAACATGGTTGGCTCCCCTTGACATTTTAATCATTATATTCTTATGTTTATTTATTTAATTTAATCCATTCATTTCCAGCAACAAAACAAGCTCTAATAATAATTGTTTTTAAAACGCAGGTACAGGGACGATGTATACGATCGCCTGTGGGTTACAGATGCTTGTGAACAGGATGTCTTAAAGTCAGCTGATGCAGAAGTGAGTGCAAAAAAATCCGATTATAAATTGCCAACAGAACTATTAAGCACAGCATCGCAGCCTTGGAATGATTCCAATCTCTTCACGGTGAACTGGCCTTATGATATATCCAAACAATATTATTTGTTTCTTCACTTTGCTGAAATTCAAAAGCTTACTTCTGGCCGCAAGAGGATTATCAATGTGACTTTTATGATGACAATCCTCGCTCTCATGAACTTGCTCTTGAATACTTGAAGCCAGTAACCTTGAGTTCCAATAAAATGACAAAGGGTTGTGTTAGCTTCACAGCAAGAGCAACAACTGATTCGGCTGCTCCTCCTATCCTCAGTGCCTATGAAATTTACAAAGCCGTCCCTCAACCAAATTTCCCTACAAATACACAAGATGTATTGTTGCTTTTTTTTTTTGGGTTAAATGAAAAATTGGCCCATAAATTATAGGTTCTGGATCATTTATAGGACTATAAACTTGTTTTTAATATAATGTTTCCCCTTCAACTTTTAAAAACAATACAACATTGTTCCTACTATTAAAAAATATTAATTTTAACTGTTAGTTGACTAAAAAATTACAGAAATCTTGATCATTTTTTGTGTTTTTATCTATAATTTTTTTGAGTCATTTTTTGGTAATTTTTGAGGTCCTTAACTAATGATTAAAGTCAACTGTCGTAATTGGTGAGGGAAAAATTGAATCATTTTTAAAAGTTGATAAGGAATATTGTGCAAAAAAAAAGTTTAGTGTTCTAGACATTTGTGGACTAATAGTTTAAGGGTGAAATGTCCCTTTAATACTATTTTTCTCCTCAATGCATATGTTTAAATACTGTTACCACTTTTTTTGTGTGTTTTTGCATTAATCATAAAATCAATAAATCAATATATTAAAAAAAACTCAACTTGGTTTTTTTTTTTTTGGTTTATTACTGGAAATTATGAAGTCCATCTCATCATGGAAATCAAGCGTGCTTATGGGATCTCCAAACTTAGTTGGCAAGGGGACCCATGTGTTCCATCTATCTTTGCAGGGGAATGGTTTGAGTTGTAGCTATGGCAACAATATAAGGATCACTTCATTGTAAGTAGTACAGTGCTCTACTGCCCTCATTATGTTATATTTGGTGCGCTAATTCAAGAACAAACTTGTCTTGCTGTAAAATTCCCCAAATGTAAGAGATAAACAATATAGTATGAGTTTAGGGCTTGTTTGTTTTCTATTTTTAAAAATTGTTTTCTGTTTTTGGAAAAAAAAAATTAAAAACTCACGTGTTTTGAATTTAATTCTTTCGAACACTGTTGTTTAGAAACATCTGAAAGTTATTTTTGCCTTATTTTTCTTTATTTTTAAGATACATTACATTTGATTATTGCAAATTACAATATGCTCCATCAATGACTATTATAAGTGACCACCATTAGCCACCAATGACCATCATTATCAGTGAACAATTTTTAAATTCTAAAATTATATTTAAATTAACATAACCAAATAGATTTTCATTTTATTTTGTTCTGAAAAATAATTTTTAAAAATTGGATTACAAAATAATTTTTAAAAACAAAAAGTGAGAACAGAAACCAAACAAGGCCTTATATTCTTAAAATGTCAAAAAATTTGCCTTAATTTGGTGACATACACACATACACATCTTATCAGTTAGATTTTTCAAACCTGCAAGCTACAATTTCCCTTTTGTTGTCCTTTAGCTGTTTATAATGGTGGCAAAATTATGAAATATACAAATTTCAGGAACTTGAGCTCAAGCAAACTCAAAGGACAAATAGCTACAACGTTTGCTGGTTTGGAAAAATTGGAGTCTTTGTAAGTTTTTACATAAGATCCAGAGGCTGATCGAGCATTCAAGTACTATTATTGATGAACATGTTTCTTAACATCATTAATGATATTAATTAAGTTGTTCACAGGGATTTGTCCAACAATGAATTGACTGGACAACTTCCAGCATTTCTTGCAACTCTTCCTAATTTGAGATTCATATAAGATCTTATTGCATTTTATATATTATATAACACGCATGCTCATATTGCGAAGTCAGGTATGTGTATGCATGTACATCAAAATTTCATTTATTTTCTTTCTACTGTCTTGTAGTGATGTGAGAGGAAACAAACTCACAGTTTCAATTCCCGAGGCTTTAAGCGAACAGGCTAATTTGCAAGTGAGGTGTACTTTTCTTCAATGTTAAATTAAGATTCAAAGTCTCCATCCGTATTTAAAGAGAAAGTTATGCATAGTTCAGTGGAGCAGATTTTTTTTATTTTATAAATAAGTGTCACAAAATTTAATAACCACAATTAGGTACCTTGAAATCTGAATATAGATTGAAACTGAGGTGCAAGGATAATATTGCAATTTCTTATTAGATATGTGAAATTACAATTTTAAAAAGTTAAAGTTAAAGTTATAAATAAGTTGTAAATAATTAGTGTTAAATTTTATTAGTAACGCATGATCAGTTTAATTATTAGACATTTGAAGATACAGACGTAAAATATTGAAGTGATAATTATAAATTACTAATGAGTTAGTTATAAACAATTAGTGTTAAGTTTTTTTAGTAATGCATAATTAATTTAATTATTAGATATGTGAAGTTATAGATGTAAAATATTAAAGCGATACTTGTAAATTATTGATGAGTAGTTATATATAATTAATATTCAACTTGTAATGTATGATTAGTTTAACCATTGAATGTGTAAATGTTACAATTGTAAAAGGTTGAATTAATAGTTGTAAATCACTGATGAAGTAGTTGTAAACTACTTGATTGATGTAATATATTTTTGATAGGATTATTATTGTCTTTGTACTCCAATTTCAAATTTCATTTAGGTCCAAAGGGACCTAGTTGTGGTTTCTAAATTTTTGTATGATTTATTTATAAATAAGTTGACTTCACATGACTTATACATAATTTTCCCTTAGTTAAATTATAAAATTACATGTTTCCTATTTAATTAAATCATGTTATTACAGCAAGAATTAAACATCCTGATGACTCCCAAATTTAGCCGCAATATCTGTGAAAATGCAGTGTGTAAGACATGTTATTTCTCTTCATTTGGTAGACTTTCTAATACTCTCTCTTTTCTATTTTATCAGTGTAGCCAATAATCCTGGCCTTTGTCAGAAAGGTTCATGTAAACATCACAAGTTTGTCATTCCGGTTATTGCATCAAGTGCAGTTGTTGTCATTCTTTCTTTTGTGATTTGGAATTCAGAAAGAAAAGACTAGCTATTATATATATATATATATATATATTTATATCATTTGGTTGGGAATATAGCACCCATGTTTTTTGAATCTTTACACATATTTTGTTAAAAACAGAATATGTGCACATAATAGTTATAATTATGCACTTACACAAGTTTTTGCACATATATAATAGTTTTTGAATCTTTACACATGTTTTTTTTAATCTTTACATATATTTTGTTGAAGACTAGTAGATATTAATCAACATTTATGCTCATAACCGTCAATTATGTAAGCAACAAATATTTTAAATTTTATTGCAATGAGTGGCCATGTGCCCGGCAATTTTACACTTATTTTTTCTTGAGAACTTCAAAATTTTTCATCAGGGTTTTTCCTCTCAACAAGTTTTTGTAATTATGTAGAATTGTCTAACAAATCCCAGCAAAAGAGAGAAATTGTAAAATTTCATTTTCTGAAGTTCTTCATATCACCAACAATTTCAAGACTCTTATTGGAGAAGGAGGATTTGGGAAAGTTTACTTTGGTACTTTAGAAGGTGATTCTCAAGTTGCAGTAAAATTACTTTCTTCATCATCAAAGCAAGGATATAAGTAATTCCAGTTAGAGGTTAGACATCATATCATATATAATTTCCAGATTTATAAAAAATGTGTGCAAATTAATTGCATGCAAACAAATCTTAAACATGATGGGGAAAACTATTTTTGACTTGTAGGCTCCACTTTAACAGTTATTCATCATAAAAACTTGGTTTCACTTGTTGGGCATTGTCACGAAGGCTTTAAGGCACTGATTTAAGAAAATATGGATAATGGAGAACTCGGACAACTATTATCAGGTTTGTCATATGCCTTGTGCTAAAAACTTTGTAGTATATCACTATATCAGTTTCATGGTGTAATTTTTCTTGTGTTTTTTCATGTAGTAAAGGCGAAAGTACCTACTATTCAAACTACTCATTTAGGGCCTGTTTGATTTTTGTTCCCTTTTTTTAAAATGTTTTGTAATTAGAATTATTTTAAAATAAAACAAAATGAAAATCTATTTGATTAATCATGTTAATTTAAAAAATACTTTAGAATTATAAAAAAAATAAGCTAATAATGATGGTTGCAAGTGTTAATGATTATAGTTTATAATAAAAATTGATCAAGCTAACTATATTTTTTGTTTTTCAATAATCAAATGAGTATGTCTTGAAAACGAGATAAATGAAATGAAAACAACTTTGAAATATGTTTCCATATTTTTTTAAAAAATAATTAAATAATTTTAAAAATAATTAAAATCCAAAAATTTATTCAAACGAGTTTTTAAAAATTTTTGGTTTTTAAAAACAAAAGTTAATTTTTGAAAATAAAATCCAAACAAGCCCTTAGTTTTCTATGATTAAGTTGGGTTTATCAAACACTTTAAATGTTGTATCATTATAGGTATGTTTTTAATGAAAGAATGACATTGAATTCCCATGGAAGGGACCTAAATCCAGTAAGGCCCCACAAAATACGGATATTTCATAGAGGTCCTAAGAGACTTAAACAGGATTAAAATCTTGAGTAAATTTACATAAGTACCCTTTCCTTTTTTTTTTATTAACAAAAAAAAAGGCAACTTCCTGCTTCACAATTATCAGTGTATGTCGGCTACCGACGTGTCAAAGGTTACAAGCATGAAGTTTGAACTTTGACCTAAAGTGTGCTAAAATAATTAATAATCAACCAACACTTTAAAAGTTTGTATGCAAAATACGATATTTATAGTTTCTAAATTATTAGAACGCAATAATAATAAGTAAAGTAAAATCACATCATTTCTATAAGGAATTACAAAGTGCTCTGATGAAATACATTTATTACAACTATAAGGATTCGTTACTTAATTTGTTATATATTAATAAGTATCCTTTTGAAATTAACAACCCTTTCATATTAGAACATTTCATTATTAAGAAATTTAGAAATGATATTAAACATATACAGTAATAAAA